TGCTTGATGATTTTGGTTTGTTTTAACTAACCAAATGTGACGAGGTCAGATAAAGAAGAAAACTGTGTTATGGAAATGTTATGGAAAAAATATGAAAGTAGCAAATTTATCAAGAATATCAAAGAATTTATGCCATAATTTTTACATATCTAAACAAAGAGGATAAAAACATAAATGTAATAATAGGAAAAAAATATCTAAAATCAATTGTTCAAGAAAAATGTTTCAATTGTTCAGAGAAATGCTTCAATTGTTCCTGCTTTCAATCATTTTTGAAAAGAGAGAGACTATGATTTGATTTGTGAAAATAGGTATAATGAAAAAAAAAAGTATTTTTCTTTTTTTTTATAGAAGAGAAACACTTTCCTTTAATAAAATGACTTTTTTATGTTAATAAATAGAGCTATTATTTAAAATAAAAGGTAGGAGAATAAGAAAAAAGAAAAGAGAAAGTAGAATAGCTAATAATATCAAAAAAATTTTATAAATATAAACAATTTATTAAATCACATTAAATATTATATCATTATACCGTCTGCCACTTTTGTCCAAGAACGCTTTGCTCGGTGGATCTTTAAAATAGAAAAGAGTGTTTTTCCAGCTCTGTCACTGTTAGTCTTATAAATCCATGATGTTAAATAATGCAGCTCCTCGGGTAAACTAGCAGTTGCCTGGGCATTTGTCCCTTGCAATTACCATATCATCGAAGCAACGAGATTGCTGAAATTTTGTAATTCAGTTAGATCATAGCATTGAAACGCTACGAGCAGCAGCAGGAAATATACAACCTTTAGTTTAGTTGCGTCAGCTCTTAGACACTTGTTTAAGAATATGGTCAATGGAAAAAGAAACCGATAGTTTAGTTGCGTCAGCGTTTAGACATTTGTTTTAAAAATATGGTTAATGGAAAAAGAAACCGATAGTTTAGGAAAAAAATATTAGGTTACTAATTGGTGAAATTAAAATAAATTAAATCAAAAAATCAAAAAAATAATCACAAAATACTATTTTAATAAATAATATTTTATGAATATGACTACAACAATTTAGGCACACCTTTTTATTTTTTTCTATTAATTAAAATAATATGCCTTCACTTTTAAGTTAACATTTTATGAAAAATTATACTTCAACAATAAATTATAAATAAATAGAAAATCAATCTCAAATAATTAATGGAGATCAGCATGAAAGCATGCGAGTTGTGATAAAAATATACTCGGCATTCACAAAACTGCGTGTTACTTGATGCTCTAATTAAAAATCATAAATAAGCACCTCAAAGAATATTTTATATATATAACAAAATATATATACGAGGATGAGGATTTAGATGGATTAAAAAAAAGAGAATATTGTCTTGATATCATTATTAATTATAATTAAGTTTCAATTGGAACTATAATTTAGCCCTAAGAGATTGAGATTAAGTTATTTATTTTTGTATAATTTTAAATTAAAATTTTATAGTTATTAATACGATGACTACTGAAAAATTATATGGTCATAAATTTTAAAATTTATAATATTAATCAAGATATATATAAATTAATCTGAATATTTATATTAATAAAAAAAATCAAGACTACATTTTATATTTAAAGGTATGCTTTGTTTGTACAAATAATGGGCTCATTAATTGTTATCTATTATTAGAATAACTGTCTGAAACTCATAAATTAATAAACCTGATGAAAAAAAGAACAAGGCCGGAAAAATAAACCTGATGAAAAAAAGAACAAGGCCGAAAATAATAAAAAAAAAATGGTGTCCTGTGTAATGCTACTATTAACGATAACAACAATAAAATAATAGAGGTCCATACAAGCACGGTAATATATAGTTTTTTATGGCATTAATTTTTTATGTTAAGAAAAATTAAGTTTATCCACAACATAGTGAGTATCACCTATATAGTTTTATTTAAATATACACTAAGTTGAAGAAAAAAAACCATCTACAATTGTTTTTTAGGTTACTCTAAATTATTTAGATATCAATTCGAATAAATTAGAACCTTTTTAATTATTTTTTTTTTAATAGTCGATCGAGGATGAGATTTCCTCTCATCATAAACTATTATATGAAAATTAAGGCCAATCGAGCTTCTCTGCCTGCAAGACATTAAGAAAATATAGCAAGCAAATCAGATCAACACACGTAATGTGCTATGTTAAAAACCTAGTTAAAGATCGAAATTTTTAATCCTCATGTAATGGACCTGATGGTTAGAGTCGAGGGGCAATCGAACAATTATTTTTGTTTTTAAAAAAGGAATAGTGATACGTGTGATGTAATAGAATGCAAGTGGCCTTTGAGGAGCGCAAGCACCACCCCTCTCCATCTCTGTATAAAAGAGTTCAAGAGAGCCTGGAGTTCGAGCATGCAAACGATGAGAGCTTCCATCTCTTCGACTTCCTATGTGAGATTAGACATGTACAGGGACGGGATGGTTGAGAAGATGAAGCTCGACCACAAAAAAGGTGTTTTTCCAGTTCTGGTAGGGAACGAGGGGATGATGAAGAGATTTTTGCTACCCACGCGGTTAACCAAGCATCCTTTCATTGTTCAGCTGCTCGAGATGTCAGCTCAAGAATACGGGTTCGAGCAAGAGGGATTGCTGAAGATTCCATACGATGCTACTTGCTTTAAAAAGATGCTCAAGCTCATATCCAAGAAATAGTCTCACCATTGCTCCTGGAAGATAGAGTTCATCAACTCGATTGGCAGACACCATGCCTTTTGCAATTACATGCTGCCATTAATCTTAATATACTTTTGCTATTTTTTTGGATAATTTCTTAGACACGGACATGGGATTATGTGGGAGTTTATTCCAGAGTGATGGATTAGTGTTTTTTTTGGATAATATATATATATATATATATATATATATATATATATATATATATATATAATCTTAATGAACAAGAGATATAAGACTTGTACTTTAATTTTTTTCTTCAAAAAAAATAAGTCCCGCGAGCTATAAAAAAGAAGGATGATATCTCTCAAGAGCAATTCTTTTTTTTCTCCGTTTCTTGTTGCATATCTATTATTAGCATTTTTTTTCTTAAATGATATTTATTTAAATATTAAAGAATTCTCAAATTCATAAAATAATATATTTTATAGGTATCAGATACTATTTATTAACCACTTTGACTAGAAAAAATTATTCAAATCAATAAAACTGAGAGGTTAATTCATTATCTAAAACATTAGCTTGATATTTAAGCTCATTAGATGAGTTCAAACTTCATCCAAAAAATATAGTGGTCATGTTTGTTTTTCTTTTTCTCATTAAAGGGGTAGTGTCCTCACACTATTAGGGTTATTAAAATATAGATTTATAGTTTGTTTGAGAGTACAATAAATATTATTTTTTAAAATATTTTTTACTTAAAAATATATCAAAATAATATATATTTTTTTATTTTTTAAAATTAACATATCAAAAAGATTCAAAAACACATCAAAAAATTAATTTGAAGCCAAACAAAATTCAACAAAATTTTAAAAGAATGGTTGAACCACAATACCAAATGTAGCTTTATATGATTTGTAGGAGGGTAAAAAAAATTACAAGTTCGTATAAAACCATGTAAATATTAAATAAAAAATACAAACATTGTATGTATGTATATATGTGTGTGTATAATAACCTTTTCATACTATTATTGTAATTTAAATGAAATGAAAGTGATATATTCTATAATTAAGTATCTCAAATAACGAATATTATAAATTATGGTTTTTTATATATATAAATAGCTATATTTTGATGCATTTATTTTTTACTTGGAGAAATCATTTATTGTTTTTTCATGGATAAACACATTTTCTATTTTTTTATTGAAAAAAGAAAATAAAGATAAATAATATGTATTTTCACTAAATAGGCCTATAATATCATAAAATCAAATTGGAAAAGAAAAATATTTTAGGCAAAAAATAGGTAATGTAATTTGAGATTAATTAAGAAAGACACTCGATAATTTAATAAAAAGTACCAGCAGAAATGTTTAGGACGTCAATTGGGAAAATCTTATGTTGCACGTAGTGATTAGTAACATTTTATTTGTTACTACATTAGACATATTAAAAAAAAATAAAAAATAGACAGACATCTTTAAAAAAGAGAAGATTAAATTCAGAACCATAAAAATAATAAGCATATTTCCATCTAAGTTTTCTCTTCATTTTTTATATCTATTTTTGTTGAAAAAACTTTAAAGTAAACCTGGTGAAGTAACTGGGTCCATCCATGGCCTTCCTTGTCACAGTTCTTTCCGATGACACAACTTGGCCGGCAAACCCGTGACCTAGCATGCTTCCTCTTATGTTGCGGATAAGAACTAAGAAGGCAATGAAAATTATAAGATATTATTGATGATGTATTAAAAAATTTAAATAGTTTGAAGATAAAAAATTATATTTTGAATAATTAGTTAATTTTTTAAATTTAACTGGTGGATGATGCGTGATATGATATTAATAGCAAAATAGCGTTGTGATTTATTTATTTTTATTATAAATCTTTTATTTAATTTAAGATAATTAATAATATTTAGATTAACGTACGAGGTGTATCTTTTTATTCTTAGTTGGTGAATAAATTGATAGGAGAATATTTTGGTCATATAATAAAAAAAAAATGGTAGAGGGAGGACACGATATACCAAGAAAATTTCTAGAAGATACATACAAAATATACTTTCTATATATATATATATATGCAAAATGTACGATATTTTCTTGGCTGGGCCTGGCTGTATGATACTTGACTCATGTACCCTTGGATTGAACTGCCTCCTGCGAGCCTATCGAGACCAAAATATGGGCTCTGGAAGCTCAAGTGGACTAATAAGTGTTTTTGGGCCGAGATAAATATGCAGATTGGACTCGTTCTGGACCAGAAATTAGATCTGGGCCAAGCTGAGAACATTTTAGGCTCGGGGCTGACCCTAACCACGACACGAAACTAGGGTTTTACACTCTCACTTATATACTCCTCCAAAACTTTGAGACCGGGAGGAAAGAGTTAGCGTTTGATCTGAGGAACCCGGCTGCTTCTCTCTCAAGCACGTCACAAAATGGTTTCCTTCAGGGTATGTAACATCAACATCCTCGGACCTCCTCATTCTGCTGTTTTTCATGGCTCCAATAACAAGATGTTTGATTTTTTTATTTGTGTTTCGCGTGGAAACAGTTTCACCAGTACCAAGTGGTCGGGAGAGCACTTCCAACTGAGTCCGATGAGCATCCAAAGATCTACCGCATGAAGCTTTGGGCCACTAACGAGGTCCGTTCAAAATCAAAGTTCTGGTATGTGTCGTCTCTTTGATGGTTTTTTGAGTCGTTTGTATGTATTTTATTATGATCGCAAATTTCTGATTCTGTGATGGTTGATGAGTTTTAGGTACTTCTTGAGGAAGCTTAAGAAGGTCAAGAAAAGCAATGGACAAATTCTTGCCATCAATGAGGTATGTTTGATCATACGCTTGTTATAGAGCGTCCGATGATGTTGTCTTATGAGTAAGATAAGAGCTGATTTGGGCCTTGAAGGTTTTGTTTTTGTTTTATGAAGGTGTTTCTGGACGTTGAGATTAGTGAAGTAGGCAAAGGAATATCATTTTCAATATAGTAAAACTCATCAAGTTTTGCCATTATATAGGATAGGATAACCATTTAATTCTGAAGTTGGGGGGTCCTTAATCGAGATCAATCAGCTTATAATTGAAAATGACTGTTTCAACATGAAGCCGAACTAGAGTTAAAAGGGGGATGAAATGCTATGTCCTCAGCGCCCTAACGCGATGAAATTCTAGACTTAACTTCCTAGAACTATGTTGCTTATTCAGTGGGGAATTTTAATAAAGTTGCACCAATGAAAGTGTTAAACTTGGAAGGAAATTTATATAGTTATGAGGAATACTAAGCTGAATTTTAGTACCAATAGATCAGCTCAGCTCATAATTACTCACCTCTTAACTAAAAAAATCCGTCCACTTAAATCTTCAATCACAATTTATTCACATGCTCCTTGCCTCAAACACCTGCATTTTCATGCATTGGTCTGAATCCTGGCAACATGGAAAAAAATGCGGTGATTGCTCCCACCGGCTCTATAATCTGTGCATCCAGGCTATTTGCATGGAGTAGGCCTGCGATTTCAATTTTGTTTTTCTTCAGCTAATAGTATTGGCGAGTTATAACCTAAATGTTGAAACTAAACTTTACTCTCTCGAGATGTAGAACCTCTGAAAGGATATCTCAGGAATAATTATTTTTACCTGTCTTTGTTATTGCCTTCTGCATAAGTGCATCTGCATGAGTGAGATTTTGAATCTTTAATAAACATTCTATAGCTCTTTTGTTTATGCTCCTGGGGTTCAAACTTCCTTTTAATTAAGGGAAGGTCACATGATTAGCTGGTTAAATCAACTCACAGGAAATGACTTTCTTCCTTGATAGCCATCCATTCCAGTGCTTTCTAGTGTTTTGGTGTCACAAATTACAAATCCTGTGCTTGATTTAGATTCATCTTTAAAGGGGAAATGTTAGCAACATTTGTGATACTTGTATATGAGCCTTCCTGTGGAAGGACAAGTATCACTGGCTTTTATGCTTCTTTGTTTTGCTATTTTATTCCAATGGTCTTTAAATAATTATTTTCTGATTGTAGATTTTTGAGAAGAATCCTACCAAGATCAAGAACTATGGAATATGGCTGCGATACCAGAGCAGAACTGGTTATCACAACATGTACAAGGAATACAGGGACACAACTCTGAATGGTGCTGTTGAACAGATGTACAACGAGATGGCATCTCGCCACAGGGTTAGGTCACCATGCATCCAGATCATCAAGACTGCTACCATCCCTGCAAAGCTTTGCAAGAGAGAGAGTACCAAGCAGTTCCACAATTCCAAAATCAAGTTCCCATTGGTGTTCAAGAAGGTTAGACCCCCAACCAGGAAGCTCAAGACAACATACAAGGCATCCAGGCCCAACCTGTTTATGTAAATTGGTTGGTTTAATTTGTTGGTTCTTTGATTTGCGACCTTGTTAAGCTGAATAGATTGTTGAGCTAGAGTGGGTTAGAGCTAGATCTCTTTCATGAACCCATTGCTTCCAGGAGCTTAGTCTGAATTTACTGTTGTCCACCCTTTCAAGTTTTGAAGCTCATGTGTTTTGTTAAGTTGCCTAATTTCTTTTTGAATTTTGTGCTCATGGAAACTTTCTGGTGCCTTGTATTGGCGCTGTCAAATGCTTATGAAAATGTTCTTACCAGTTTTGAGGATAACGTGTTCGGGAATTGGTGCTTCTCGTATTGATTTTGATTATGGAGCAGCTAGTATATTGTCCGCACCCTGCATGATGGTTGAATCAGTTTTTTTTAAATATAAAAAAATATTAAACTTGATCAAGTAAATTAATTTAATTTTAAAATCTCTGATTTAATTCTTTGCTGGATTCAAGTTTTTAATTAAATGATAGTTTTTAATTAAGTTATAAATTATGTGAGAGCTAGTTTGATTTAAATTCATTAATTTTATAGGTTCTAATATAATTTTGATGATGGTAAAATATAATTTAGTTTTAATATAATTTTGATGATGATAAAATATAATTTAGTTTTTTTAAAAAGATTAAAATGATAATTTATTTTTTGAAATATTAATACATTGAATTAATTGCATCATAGATTTCATTGAATTTAATAAAAAAATTATTTAATTATATAATAAAAATAGATATTGATAAAAAAATAAGAATCAATTTAAAAATAAATATTTATTTGAAATAATTATTTTTAAAAAGTAAATAAAAATTAATAATATAATATATTTTATAACCAATTTAATATCAAGTAATAAAATAAAAAATATTAAAAATAATTACAAAAAACATATTTTATTAGTGAGTAAATTTATCAGATCTATGAATCGGGTAAATCAGGCTAGTACACCAAACCTCTAAACTAAATTATAAATTTTATTGGGATTATAATTTGTTTTCTATTCTGAAACTATTTTTTATTTAACTATATAATAACAAAAATAGATAAATGTAAAATCAAATAAGAGCTCATCACTAAAATATTTTTTTTTCTTTTAAGATCATCATAACTTAATAAAAAAACCAAAATTAATTATAAAACTGAATTTTTAATTAAACTAATATCTAAAAATAAATAAAAAATTAATTAAAAAAATTAAACTTATCAGACTTATGAACCAAATCGATCAACAAAGCATGTAAATAGATTCATAAATTTTATAACCTAGTAAAAAAGATAAAATTAAAAAATTAAAACATTAAATTCTTAATAATTTTAATATTAATAAATAAAATTAATAAAAATAATTTAAAAAAAAATCATAATAAAAAAATAAAAAGAAAAAAATATGTTCAAAAAAAGAAAAACAACATAAAAAGACACTTAGCAAATCTATAGTATTTTAACTCCATTTTTTATAATAACTTCAAGAATGCTTTTCTAAAAATAATTTCGAAAACACTCCCCGTCAAAATGCTAAACACATACGGCATGCACCTGTTTTCTTTTGACTCGAGGGTAGTTGCCACGCGTGGCAGAAAACCTACTCCAATGTGAGGTTGCAACGTGTTCTATCTAACATTTCGGTGTTATGAGTAACGGGACGCAAAGCAGTGTTAATTGTTTAGCGTAGGAACGTTTTGACGTAAACACCTAGACTGGAACAGATGGCACCGCCTCTGAGACGATGACGTTGAAGGTTTTGTTGGGTTGTTGAAGCTTTGTAATGGTCAACGGCTTTTTTACTGGAGGCAAGACTGTTTGGCAACTCGTCAAACAAGCAAGTGATATTACCAGCAAGACCGACCCCAACCCATCTTTCTTTCAAGTTTTTCTTCTTGGCGGGTGGGTGGGTCGGTTGCTCCTGTCCTGTCGATTTTCCTCCTTCGCAGGTTGCTTCCTCTTGATAGTTACCAGCTAAGCTTATTTACGTGGCACCTGTTCATCCTCCGAGTCCAAGAGATAGAATCACCCATCCCCGCATTATATTTCTTCTCGAGAGAAACATTTGACACCTGTCAATAATGATTCAAATACCAAGCACCAACTGTACAGCCAATCTACTAGACAACATACTTCTGATCAAATCTTACAAATATTTTAAATCTTGTTGATGGAAAATGAAAGAAATAGACATGGACTGACAGGGTTGTAGGAATAAACAGTCAAAGGTTAAGCTAGTAGCAGTGTAGGAGAGGGGTGGTAGGTAGGAGGTAAGAAAATATATATGAAAATCCGCCTATGTGGAAGGTGGAAATAACGACTCTTACATTTCTTTCTTTATATACTTAACCCCCACCACCACTTCTCACCCTCCCACCTACCGGTGCTGCTTCATCTAGCATTTTCCTCAACCAACTTGAACTCATTTAGTAAGTGTTCTCTCCACCCTTCTGATTTATGTAATCAATGATCATATATGCTAATGCCAGCTTTTATCGTTCTGTTTTATAGTATGTAATTTGATGATGAAATGAAGAGTCTGTTCTAAGCCAGATTATTACTATCTTAGAAGTGTTCCCATTTTCTGAGTGAAACAATCATCAATGGTCCCTACCATTGGAAATTAGTTTCATTTTCTTGAACTCGCATCCTTTGTTTGTGCAGTTTCTTGAAATGGCTCAAGAAGTTGTTAACCCAGAAGAGAAGGTATATATGCTCTGCAAGTTTCAGTTATATAAGATCCGTCTTTGTCTTTTTGGTTTCTTTACCCGCTTCCTATTTTTTTTTATCAAATTATGCGTGTTTGATTTCAAATCTTTATCTATGGTTGGATTTGCCCCAACTGGCGCCAAAGTAACTAATTAGTACAAAATGGGTGCTGTCGTAATTGCTATTTTAGGTTGTTCTTGGAGAAGAGATAGATCATGTTAGGCTGATCACGTTGAACAGGCCTCGTCAATTGAATGTTATTTCATCAAAAGTGGTATGCTGAGTAAACTTCACCCAAGTTATAATGGCAACTGGTTCGGCTTGATTTCTGTATGTAATTGTTGTTTCTTTTACTCCATTCAGGTTTCTCTGCTGGCAGATTTCTTAGAGAAATGGGAAAAAGATGATAACACCGAACTTATATTAATCAAGGTTAGTTCTGATACCTCCAGAAAATTCAACTTAACTTGCTCTTTCTGCTCAGTTGTGTCATGGGCTTACTGAGTATATCAAGCACTTAAAGTATGAAGGGTTATTAATCACTGAAGTTAGATAAAGTTCATCCAAAAAAAATAAAAGAGAGAAGTAAAAAAAATCATGGAAAAAAAGAGAAGGATCGGATGATTGGTTTCATATGTTATGATATGATACAGTGGAAACCTGTAGGTCAATTGTCTATCTTTGTGAGTTATGAGAAAGGTAACCCTTCTGAGGTTGGGATAATCAAGTATTGTTCAAAAGTTAACAATTCCACCAGCACCAAACTAACGACTGCCATCACAGTGCAATTTTTTCCTGTTAAAGTTTAACAGCGATCTTATTCCTTATACAGGGTGCTGGGCGAGCATTTTCTGCTGGTGGGGATCTAAGAATGTTCTATGATGGCAGGACATCAAGTAAACACAGTTCCCTGAAACTAACTTTTAGATTCCCATTTTTATCTTGGCATCAGTTATAATTCCTTAGCCACAACATGTTCACGAGCCATTGCACTAAACAGAGTTGTTGATTTCCTCCTATGTATGAGGTCATTCCCTTTCTTGTATGCATGGAAGCTAATTTGTAAATATGGTGCCTTTTGGCAGGGGATTCTTGTGTTGAAGTGGTTTACAGAATGTACTGGCTTTGCCATCACATCCATACTTATAAGAAAACCCAGGTAGTATTTTGGACTTGTTCTCCTACATATCCAAAGGTACTTACAGAATGATGAACCTTGTTTCACTAACAGGTTGCTCTCGTCCATGGAATTTCAATGGGAGGAGGTGCATCATTGATGGTCCCGATGAAGTTTTCGGTCGTCACAGAGAAAACTGTGGGTATTTTGTCCTTGTTTGGGTATTTCTATGCATAGATTAGCGATTGTAGCCTTAGTAGTACAAGGCTTGGAATTTCGTTCTGATTTGGCATACTAAATTTTTCTAGTTTCTACAATGAACAAATAGGTTTTTTCCACTCCAGAAGCAAGTATAGGATTTCATACTGATTGTGGTTTCTCATACATACTATCTCGTCTCCCTGGTCATTTGGGTGAGTATTCAAATAGGGAAAGTTAAGCATTGCTAAGAGTTCTCTTTATTTTCTTAATGTTTAAGTTAATGACTTGAATGCCACTCACTTCTCTCGTTCTGGTACTTCAATATGTTAAAAAAACTCAGAAAGTCATGGTATTGTGTACAGGGGAATTCTTAGCCTTGACAGGTGCGAGGCTGAATGGTAAGGAATTGGTCGCTGCTGGAATGGCAACTCATTTTGTCCCATTTGAGGTTAGCTTGAATTAGACTACTTTGTATTTGTTGATATCCCAGTCTTGGAATCGTTATTTGTTTCAGAATCTCTGTTTTTTTTTTTTGGATGAGAGGGTAGGTTGACTCCAAAAGCAGTTGAACACAGAATCCCATGCTTACTACAAGATGGTTGCTACCAATCCTCATTTAGCAAGATGTCCAGAAATATCTTATTCATAATTGAATAACTAACTAGAAATAATAATAAAAAGAACTGGAAGGACCGCTGACCTTTCTATTTCATTCACTGTAGTGGTTCACTGAAGTACTCGTTTATTTTCTGTATGTCAGAAACTGCCTGAGCTAGAGAAGCGTCTTGTAAGCTTGAACTCTGGTGATGAGAATGCAGTGAAATCTGTTATTGAAGAATTTTCTGTGGACATACAGCTTGATGAAGGCAGCGTTTTAAACAAGTAATAGATAGTTATGGAATAGTAAAGCATATATTCTCTTCCTTAATGAATTCTTCTATTTCATAGTGACGGGACTTATTACAGTTTGTTACCTTTTAAGGTTGTCAATTATTGATGAGTGCTTTTCAAAGGATACTGTGGTAGATATCATCAAATCATTTGTAAGTTCCTGCACCCTCCACCCTCCCCTCTCCAATTAAGAAATTTCTCACAGAATTCACTTGCAAATTATGATCATAATGAATGGGATATGTATGAAATTCCGCTCCAGGAACTTGAGGCAAGCAAGGATGGAAATGGATGGATTGGTGCAATACTGAAAGGGTTGAAAAGATCATCCCCTAATGGATTGAAAATAACTCTCAGATCGGTAATCACTCAATATACGATT